GTTATTTGGAGGTAATCAGTTCTGCTTGAAACGTCTGTTTTGTTCGATTTTGAACTTTGCTTCCTTTTCAGGGTGCGAAATTGCGTGTATTTCACGATCTCGACGAGTTCTCGAACGATGGAACAGGAACAACGAAGCATGGCAGCGTTGTTGTCGAAATTCCGAATAAATTTCAGCGACGTGTCCGTTATTTCTGACATTGGACGAAAACCCAGACCAGAGACGTTAGTTCTGCTCGAACCTTATAGTTTTGATTGATTCCATAACGTTTATCCCTTTTCGCTTTCGGTGCACTTCGGCTGCGTGGGGGGGAGGGAGCATTTTGCAATTTCGCTTCTTCCCATTGTTGTGTACATTGCTTTACAAAAGATGACAGGTTTTACCATGGTGGCTGGACGAGCTTGCTCCAGCTTCACAAGAGTTCACAGGTTTCACCAGAGTGAGACTTGTAAACCGGAACTAGTGAAGCAGTGAAGTGCAAAAGGCCCTCCCCCATAGCCGCTTTGCCCCTCGTTCTGCGAAGAAGGAACAATTCATTAGGTACCGTGACTACTCTTTTAGCTATATTTTATCATTTCAGCATGATGGTTTGGGAAACTTTGATCGCACCGTTCATTTGCAAAGATGATCAGGATTGTCCTCCCGGTATGACCACCAAAACTGAGCTGGATGCGCAGAAGCAAAAAACCTATCGACAGCTGCGTACTGCTGAACTTCTTCATGATCACTCCATGGACGTCGATCTTGTCGTTATGTGAGTTCCAGTGCTTTAATTCTGTTTTTTATTATTTTTTTGTTTCCCTCCTGAAAAATATGCTTTCTGTTCTAGAACTTTACCCGTACCACGTAAAGGTATGGTCAGCGCTTCACTGTATCTTTCATGGCTAGACATAATGACTCGACGTCTTCCACCCACTCTACTGGTTCGTGGAAATCAAACCTCAGTTTTGACATTCTACTCATAAACTCAGCAATAATATGTACCATCGCCTTTAATTTTCATGTTTAATTTTCAGAAAATCCTAGTATTTGGAAATTTTGTAGGATTAGCTTGTAATTTCTCACATTTTGTCGCAGTTGCAGCACAGGTACATTAGTTGCCAAGAGCTAGGAAATTATGTGTGACATAACACTTGAATTACGGTTCAGTCGTGACCACTCAAGTAGGTCGCGGCGTGTCAGCGGCGCGTGGCTTTTCGAGCGGCGACAGCATCTTCCCCAGCACTCATGGAACGCCTGAAGCCGCAACGATCGACGCCAACGGGCTCACGCTGCGCCGAAACCCATGTTTTGTTTTGCTGAGACTGCGTTCTTACTTTGCGTCCGCGCCAGCGTTTCGAGCCCTCTCCCAGCGCCTAGGAAAGTATAGGTATCGATCTACTCCACCAGCGTACAGCAGAGTTTTCGCCAGCACTTTTGCTCAAGCTGAAAAGTGCCTGCAAAAACGCTGTTGTACGCTGATAGACTATGACGTTCGTAGATCGATAGTCATAATTGCCTAACGCTGGCCTGGCGCAGGCTGGAAACGCTGGTGGACGCTGGCGTTCCCC